TGGAATTTTAACATGTCTCAAGTCACTCTTGACTCTCACAGTTCAGCAGTAATATTTATATCTGAAATGGAAAAGTATAGTGCAAAATATAGGAACTTCAAAGGCAGAAGCTGTTGAGTGGACAGAGAACACTTTGTATTGCTAATGTAAACCATTTGGGGCTATAGAGATTCTGAAAAAACATGTGCTGAACTTGACCTTTCATGTCATCAATACAATAATAAAGGATTAGCTCTATGAAGTGCCACAAATATTGAGTGACTTATGGGTCACTAACTGCATAATGTTTGTTTCAAAGATAACTCTACTTCTTGCAATGAAAGTGTAGCAAGTTATCCATGCTATTTTCCTAGGCTTAAAAAAGTAAAATGATGTCACTGACTGTGTAACTGTTTGGCCTCTAGAAGAAAAGATCAGCATCTATGTCTTGCCTTTGTAGCACAATCGGATTGGCAACCACGGCAGATTTAAAATCAAGATGTCAGGCAGGTGCCAAACGCAGCAAGCTACAAGTAGTGTGTTGCTTTGGTTAGGCTACAGGAAGATTGAACTCTGATATTCTTTCTCCAAAGCACTGTCTTATTTAAGAGTTTTATTCTGTCTGTGGTCCTGTTTTGAGTTCTGTTTGTCAGCCAGCTGCCAAACTGCACGGCATTGACTTGTCAGGATGAGGCTGTAGGAAATAAGCTCAGAGTCAGAAGTCTTACTTTGTACCCCAGTAAGCTCAACAGACAACTCCTCCATCTTGTCTTGTGTGAAGAGCTTGGGGAGTGCTGATGAGAAAAGAGGAAGAAATAATTTCTTAGTTGGAAAATAAATCTTTGATTTCTTTTTATCTTGAGGTAAATAAAGGATAAATTAAATGTGAGCTACACACCCTCTAAAAATAAAATTCAAACTCAGAGGTGCCCATGAAAGACCAACACAACTTCTGTGGTTTAATGCAGATCAGCAATTGAGATGTTACTAAGGTGAGTAAAACAGAAAGGGTTTCTCTCATTGATGAGACACCTTCCTAACATTTTTACTGTTTAAATAGGACAAGACAGATACAACGTTCTTCACATAAAGGAGGGTGAAAGATTCTCAGCGAGGAGAAGAACAGAACGTAGGTGGGAGAGCATCCGATTTAATTAGCTGTAGCAGCCAGCAAGAAATGCGAGAGACAACTGTCCGAGCAAATTCTAACAAAGCAGTAATGCATATGAAAATGAGGGATATTTTTAAGGGAAAGACTATTTGAATGTTTTGTAATTTACTTAATTTGATCCAAAATTAATTTGGAGAAAAATGGTTGATAAAGTTAGGCTCCAATAAACTCTCCCCGGTTTTCAGAAGCACAGAAAAAGAGGTCTGCAGTGGATTATGCTGATCGGAACGTGAAGCCTCCGAAAGAGCTATTTCCATTTACTCTCTAGAAACTTAATGAGTTTTTTTGCTCAATCACATCCCTGCTTGATCCAGTTTGGATGGCTGTGAATATGGGAAGACTAAAAGTTATGGCCAGATGGTGACTTAGAATATGGCAGCTGATTCTTCATTCCCCCTAAAGCATCCACTCTTTAGCCATGAGGATGCCTCCCTAGTCTTTAGGCCAAGTTGAAGAGAAAGAAAGGGCTCTTCTAAGTCTTTCTTCTCCTGCAATACATTGGTGATTTCTCCCATTCACATGGGAGGATGGGCTATGCAGCAGACAACTCTGCTCCTCAAAATGTTGACTTGATGTGTAATGGCTGAGACATATTATCTTAAGTATCTTGTTTTGCTCCTGTTTAAGGGAAGGTGCATAACCATGTTTCTACACGCTATAGAATGCTATGTGACAATGCTACGAGCCTGCACGGTCTTCGATAGAATTGGTGGGGGGGGCGGGTTCCCAGGGACAGCATAAGTGTAACTAGGGGATTCAGTGTCACCGACACTTGAGCATGTTTTCTCGGTGGCCCTAGGCTTATATATGGAGAAGCATATGGTTTGTGGGTCCAGGTTGGGCCAGCTAGATAACTTCTCTGGAGGAGGTGCTGCATTCATATACAGGTGCTTTCTAAGCTAGCATTACCTACCTAAGCCAATGGGCTTAAGGTTCACCCTGGTAATGCTGGAACAGTAGGAATAAAAATCAGCACTACAGAAAAAGAGGTTAAAAATAGATTTGGATTAAACTGGAAAGAAATAGGCTTTTTAACATGTATTGGTTGTTCACATTAAAATAAATATTTGTGGTATTTTTATTAAATAGTGCAGTTATTTACCATTTATGAGATTATATTTTATGAGACGAAGTATCTAACTTCAACTTTGACTTTCATTTGTTAACCTAACTGCATGCTTCAATTAAGGTCTTCTAACCTATCACTTTGTGGAGTAAAATCACCTTTCACAAAGTTTCTTCATTATAGCTCATTAATTAATTGGTAACTGGGATAGATTTTAATCATTGTTAAAGACTCACACTTTCTTACATTGCTGTTGCAGAACTTCTTAGTCAATTAAGCAACAATAACCTACTTTACTTGGTTTATTCTATTAATGCCTTGGGACATTTGCATGAAATATATAAATTCTCTGGTATTGTAGTTAACTATACCCATGACCACAGCCTGTAAAAGTCACGTGTCTGACATCTGGAGAAAGAATGGGCATGAATGCCAAAGACTAAACCAAAGCACCGACTGTCTAAACTAACAAAGTAATTCATGTCCCTCAAAGAGCAGAAACAGAGAGAATGCAATACTTTTTAGTTCCTTTAAGTTTTATTATGATTTTATGAGACCATTCTTACAGGCAGAGAAGAGGTTGGTGTCAGGGGACTGTGCTGCTTCCGAGTGTAACTGCCTGAACCAAGTCAGACAAGAATGACAAAAAATACTTTTTTTGCGCAAATGAAAGAAACTTGTCATTCCAACTTCACAAAACAGCGCTAGAGATGAAATGCTCAACTCCACTGGGACAGCCATTTTTTTGCTGTTATTACAGAAGAAAATTATAACCATAAAAATGTCCAATTTAGAAAAAAGGTGCCACTTTAGTGTCATTTGCATAAAAGCTGTTACATACAAATTGTTATAAAGACAAATGTGTAGTACTCTTGTTGAAAATTGCTTATATCTTAGGTGCTTTGCCTGAAACGACGTAAAGGCCTCTTCAAACTGAAATTCATTCTCAGGTAAATAAAGCTGAAAAAGAATTTTCACCTATTTGTATGTACGTGAGCAGTTTTTCATATTGTCTTAAACAGATTTTGACATGCATTTCTCCCATGCTTTTAAGTTCTTTCCCTTCTTAGCCTGTTGGTGGCCTCCATTACGATAACTTGGCTTCGCTGATGAGGGCAGATGAAAAAAGTTTGTCCTGAGTACAAGTCTATGAATCAGCTAAGATAACTTTCTGTAAGCGCAGGGCAGCTGTTACTTCCTTCTGTTAGAAAGTGCTTGCATTTACCTCTCCGCAATGAGCTGACCACTTTTCAGGCCTGAGATGGGTTACTAATGTTTCTGTCATTACTACTGCTATCTACTGACTATCTACTACTGCTATCTACTGACTCAGAGAAATTTACTGAACTCTTCGGAGAAAGTCAACCAGACGTTACTGGGGCCACTGTAAAATTCAGAGCACCTATATACAATATATAAGTAGTATTATGATGACCACCCTTATTCATTTTGCAGTGGTGCTTAGATGACCCAGCCAGTATCAGGCCTCCATTGCACTGGAAATCATTTCTCCGAACTGTGTTGGCTCCCATGGACAAGTTCTTCCAAATTGTGGTGGAGCCACTAAAGGAGCTCCTCTACCATCTGTCTATCCCTGCCCTCTCCTCACCTGAAGGCTACACCCCTCCAACCCACTCCAAGTATGTTTGCTACTGCAAATGCTACTGCATTTCCAAAAGCCTTGTGCAGAGCTCACATGCCACATCACCTTGAGCAGACAGAGGTGAAGGTGTCCCCCTCTGCCGCACCACACGCTGGAGTGTGACCTCCTCCTTCTGGTGTCAGGGTGAGCAGCTAGGAGCCTTGGCCTCTGCAGGCATCCCACCACAAACTGGCGGAGCTAGGCTTCAAAAGCCATAATGGACATCCCCCCAGGTAGAAGAGAGGCTCAATAAACTGATTTATCTAAAATTACACAGGAACTTCATGGATTAGACAAAAGCTATATCAGCTAGGTTTCTGATGTGCAAGTCCAGTTGCAAACATACGGATCATTATTTCTGCAAGGATTTTGGAAGTTTGCTACAACTTCACAGATGTTAGTGTTCAACAACTAAATAACAAACTTTACTAAATAAAAATGACCCTATTCAGTAGTCCAATTAACATTATTTTTGGATTTCTGAAAACTGACTTCAGAGGCGTGTATTTATATTCAGTGTAGAACACTGACACAATACAGATACGCAGGAAATCCAGATTAAATGTTGCAGTGAACAGAGTCATCAGACAGACATTACTGCAACAGAGAATGTCACATTAATATGAATGAACACGTTAGTAGGGGATTTTCAAGTGGTCTGATACTTTCTTTACCCAGCTGCAGGATCACTAAAATTAGTGTAACTTGTGTGTAAGCAGGAGAAACAGGTAACAGTAAAATCTCAAGTTAAGATGTGTAACTCACTGAACCTTCAACATTCTACACCATGGTATTCCCAGACACTGCATAGTATCTGAAATTAAGAAGCAAAGCAGGATATATCATAGTGTAGAATACATTAGTCTTGACTCCCTTGACTGTGAGTCCTACAAACGCACTGATCCTCACCAGATATATATGGTACCTTGCAGCACTCATAACACTCTACATTATATGGAAACATCTGCAGCAAAATTAAAAATAAAGTATTCTGGAAACTTCAGACAGTACAGGGCCAGCAATAATATGCCTACATACTTTATTCTCTGCTCTTCCAACGGGTTAATTAGTTTCTCAAGTAAAATAAATAAATAAGATAAAGAAAAAAGCTTGTTAATCACACATGGATTCTAGTGTTTTATTATTTGAATGCACCATAAACACTAAGCTCCAAATGGTCTCATTCGCCACAGTGGAGAGCACCCACGACTCCGGATGAAGACAGAAGCATCTACAGGTACTCTGAACCTCTGAGCACTAACTGTGAATTTTGTAATTTTATACTTTAAAAGCAGTGTGAAAAGACGCTTGTGATTCATTGTCAGTCTTTTTCCTTCTTAGTATGAAAAAGTACTAATACCCTGCTTAGCCTTTCTCAGGCCCAGATCTTGACGCCTTCTGGATGGAGAGTTCTGCACAGCTGTGTGGCCATGACCAGGTCGTGTGAGCTGGAGTGTCGCCTTAGCTGGCACCTCTCCCCACCATCTGCGCCTCTTTCTGCAGAATAGTGTAAAGATTCTTCCTTTCTATGCAAGAAAGTTGTATGTTTTTTCAAAGAAAAACTGGAAAAACACAGTTCAGCTCACAGAAAATCACAAACAGAAAGAGCCTTTAGCTCTGACTTATATTCTGATTACTTTTTTTACGAAAGGCCCAATATTTTCACCAAATGGTGTCCTTCCAGGATAGTTAGTCTACAGTGAAAACGCCTTTTCGTTGTTCCCTGTGATTATTAGAGGGATAGAAATACCTGGAAATCTCTGATAGACTGAAATCACAGGTTCCTTAAACAGAACCTACCACCACTTCTTCTGAGTTCAAAAGGGCAAGTCTGTCTGAGTCTAGTCAGCAAAGGACAGGTGCTGATCCAGTTTTAAAACTTATACACAGTAGAATTTTGTCATACACCTAAGCAAGAAATAATGCTTTTTTTGCGTTAGCCTGTTAACAGGAGTTACACCGTTAATTACGATCCTCAGTCCTGCCTCAGGTAAATGTCCAAAATGGGGTATTGCTCCTTGATGCTACTCAAAAATCTAATTCTGCAAACATTCCACAAGTGAGAACACCTCCTTGACATAATTAACCCCATTAAAATCAATTAGACTAAGCATGAAAGTCAAGCAATTTGCATGAGTAAAGATATTACAAGAATGCGACTTACGTGGTTGTTATTTACTGCTGGAGTGGTAACAGAAAAAAAATAGAGATCATTTTCTTTCAAGTTTTAAATACGGTAGATAGCTGCAAACAACAAATTCTGTCCATTACAAGCTCTGCTGGAGAAATGGCTAATGGAATACCAGCCACCAAAGCCTTGTGACTCTCCTGTGTTCACAGAGGACTGCAATAGCTGCCTTGATGATTGTTCTTTGCCTTGGCGACTGTTCTTCACCCTTCGGCTGTGCAAAGAGAAAGCAAAAATATCCTCCAGTCTCTCACCAGGAACGCCGATGAGGTAAGCTTCAAGCTAAGGAAATTATGGAAATTGTAGGCCTTTGACACCTCACAGAAGGGCCTCCTAGTCAATAAAGCTCTAGCCACTGGACATTGCATGACAGGGCTTCACAGAGAAGCCATGCTGAGGGAAGACAGCTTGCCCTTACAAACTTCTCAAATAATTTCTTTCTAGTGTTGCTCCAGATTCACTGTTAAAGACGAGGGCCACCCCTTACAGGTTTGTGGTGCAGACTACGTGATACTTCTTTTGTGCACTGGATAAAGGAAAAGAAGAAGAGGGAGAAAGAGAGCCACACTAATTTATCTTTGCGCCCAATTGTTTTGTCCTGGGCCTTTGGCTTTGACCTAGGCTCATAATGAGCTTTATGAGCAGCATGGGCAGTATTGCTGGGAAACATCAATTTTCAGCCTCTTCTCCTGTTTCTTCTCCTCTTCTTCCAAACTCTTAGACTGCTCCTAAATATTTACTATATACAAGGCGTGTTCACAGGCAACCCGTGTTTACCTTTGCCTCAGCCTTCCTTTCTTCTGTTTATACTTCTTGGCTGTACTTTTTTTGAAACGTTTATGTCACTGCACTAGCAAACAGACAGCAGCATTATGTGCAGTAGCCCTTCCACTTATATGCGTTATTGCACAGGTGATGGAATTTGGATTTAGAGGAGAAAGTTTCAGTTATTTAGCCATTTTCTATTCCTCCATATAAAAGAGAGAGAGGAGAAAGAGACGCTGATATTATTGAAAAACTAGGATGATAATGAACTGGAAGGGAGAATATACAAAATGCAGTTGTCAATTTGAGTTGAAAGTCAGATAAGAACATTAGAAACCAGCCAATTAAAGTTTGCAACCAGTAAAATCATGAGGCTCATTTTAATAGTTATATATTTTTAAGTCATTTTGTTTTCTGTATTCCTGTCCTTTGCCATGGCTTTTCCACCAAGCGGTGAATATTGCAAATGCTGTGGGACTTTTCTCAAACTTGATCAAAGCACTAAAAAACTAGAAATGAACATAAATATTTCTGAGATCCTTAAGGAACCTGCCAAATAATTGTTAGTGACGGTTCTAATTCTTTAGTAAAATTCATCTCTTACGACGTCTAGAGGAGACCAGACAACCAGTGACATTTGATGATGTTCCTGATTGTTTAAGAATAGTGCACACTCTTGTATTTTTGTAACTGCGTCTTTCTTGCCTTGTCCCGAATAACCTACTTGTTTGCTTCCTCTACTTGTGTCTCATGCTAGGTTTTCGGACAAAGGAAAATTGACAAAGGAAAATTGAGAAGAATATAAACTCTAGCAGTCTAAACACAGAACCACAAGAAGGCAGGGGATACAAAATTTTGAAGAATAACTTGCTAAAGGCATAAAAATAATAATCAAAACTTTTTTTAAACACATCAGAAGCAGGAAACCTGCCAGGGAGCCAATCAGGCCTACAGGTGTAAAAGAAGCACTCAAGGAAGATAAGGCCATGTGGGAAAAGCTAAATGAATTCTTTGCATCGATGTTCACTACAGAGGAGCTTAGGGAGGTTTCCACACTGGCACCATTCTTTATGGGGGGACAAATCTCAGGAACTGTCTTAAATTGAAGTGTCAGTAGAAGAGGTTTAAGAACAAATCGATAAAATGAATAGTGACAAATCATCAGGACCAGATGGTATTCACGCAAGAGCTCTAAAGGAACTCAAATATGAAATTGCCAAACTACTCACTGTGGTGTGTAACCTAGCGCTTAAATTGGCCTCAGTACCAAAGAAATGGAGGTGGAAAATATGATACCAGTTTTTAAAAGCATTTGGGAGTGTGGAGGGAAATCCAGCAAGCTGTAAAGCAGTAAGTCTGATTTCTCTACTGGGCAAATCGGTTGGAAATATTGCAAAAAAACAGAATTAGTGGACTTATGGAGAAATAAATCAATGGAGATGCTATAAGCAATGAATAAAGCAAGGTGTTTTCAGACAGTGATTCATTCTGCTTCTCCTATATGCCTGTTATAGGGTGGATCTAGCTTAGAGTAGATAACTGGCATTCAGAAAGTTAAGTCAGAGGAGAAAAATTCACTGCTGAGTAGCTGGATGGCAGATAAAATTCACGCTCCGATCTATACAAAGGAAAACAATCTTAAGCCTAGATACCTAATGATGGGTCCTATATTAGCTATTACAATTAAGAGAAAAGATGACAAAGTAATTTGGATTGTCAGTCTGAAACGAAATCATCAAGTGTCAGATTTAAAACAAACCAAAGGAAGTACTTTTTGATATAACACATAATGAAACTGTGGCATTCATTGTCACGGCATGTTCTGGATGCTGAAAATATAAACAGTTTCAAAGAACAATTGGGAAAAATAATGCAAGAAAAGTCTCTCAAAGAATATCAGATATCACATTCAGTTCAGAATTCCCTTGTACATCATAATACTAGAAGCTGGGAGAGCATGTTGAAGAAGTATCTATATTTGCTTTCTTCTGATACTCTTTCTTTAAACATCCATTACAGGCTATTGTGAAAGACAGAAGATGAGATTTGGTAGATCTTTGATTTTTCCCAGTATGTCCATCCTTACATTAGATTTTGTGTAATTTAATATGATATGATCAAGGAGAAGTTTCAGATGAAACCCAAATTGAACATGGATCCGCTTTAGCAAAAATTAGCTCTAGCGGACCAGTGCTGTTTTTAAGTAAACGTTTCGAAACAATGACTTCTTCTTTGAACTGAAGTATCTGTTAGAAATTTTGCTCAATGCAGTTGGAATAGTCAATGAGGCTCCTACCAGTTCTCAGAAGGATTCAGGCCAGAGCCCAAAGAGTTGTTGCTCACACCCTTCATAGCGTACTTCCACCAAACTTTTAGCTAAAGTCATCAACTATAACTTTATCTCTTCTCTATTTAGAAATCATGAAAAGGAAGCAGTCTTCCTCAGGATTACAAATAATTCATCATCTCTAGGCAGACATTGTAAGTACACAATCATGGATTGTATTTTCTTCTTATAGATAATTCTGTAATGATTAGCAATCTCTCTGGCGAGTGACAGTAATGTATTTGAAAGAAAGCTGTCTTCCTTTTAGGATCATTTAGCCCTGAGTATCCCATTGGTCCAGTTATCCATAGATAACTTTTTAGGTAGTTTGTTGGTTAAAATAGGAAGTTAGATGGCTTACCACATATCCATCTGTGCTATCAAAACCTGTAACTACTCACTGGATTTGGCAGGGTAAATGAACATTTTGTTCAATTACATTAAAGGTCTGATTTTAATTGTCTAATATTCCCATTAATAATGTCTCTTTAAGTCATCTGTTCAGATTCTGCAATGTTAAATTGTCTCTGAAAGTTAGAACAAATGCAAATTAAAACAAGGGTCTAGTTAACTCTCACCTGGCTTATGATTAAATGTTTCTATATGTTAATGTTTTAGTTATTAAAATGTATGAAGACATGGAAAAAAGCTAGGAGTAAATAGCACCAGGGTTTGCCTTGAGAGTAGTTCTCCATGGAGGAACAGCACTTTGGATCTAACAGCAGTGACAGACAATCATGGTTCAGATGGCCTAGGTCACTGTAAGGCTGTAAGAGAACAAAGACGACTCACTGTAATTGTAAAGAAAGTATAAAACAACAAAATATGCTTCCAAAGTAAAGTTGAGAAGATGACCAGTTAGCCACTGTGATTTTGACAATACTAGTGCACAAGCAGTGGGTGATGGCTGTTGAAGGCAGGAGGTGGTTTGATCTGGATGAATTCTTCCATGAGTGGATTTTAACTAATCTTGAGTAGAAAAAGAAGGGGAGTTTTGGGGGATGGGAGATGAGTTTCCACAGAGAAAAGAGGAACTTAACCAAAAGTGATTCTATGAAACTGGGATGGAGTGAAGTAGAAACCAATAATGTTCCTCCCCTCTAAAGAGGGGAAGCTGATAAAGGAGAAGCGCAAGCAACTATCTCCAACCCACATAGGAGCTGAAAACTGAACCCAGTTTTCCCCGCTTTCCAGCACTGCTGAGCACAAGAAGAAGTGAGGGTTTTGCTTATGTTTATATCATTTTGTGGAGGAGATTTTAAAATGATGTCATCAAATTGCCTCACTATAAACTGCTAGAAAAATACAGAGGAAAAATCTGATGGAGTGCTGGAACTGTGAAAAACCATGTATGCCAAGGTAGCAGGTTTCTCTGAACAGCTGCCGGAGCTCTTGACAGTAAAGATCCAGACAAAATCCTTTTGCAATTTAAACTGGTGCTGTCTCTGTCGAAAATCCTTTTGCAATTTAAACTGGTGCTGTCTCTGTGGGTTTTGGTAGTCTCTAAGGCCAGCCATTTTGGCTTTCAAGCCTGTCTGGATTTTCAGAAAGAGGCAGAGGTATCTGGGGAAATAAGGAGAAACAAGGACCTGAAATTCAGAAGGGGTTGAGGTGGGAGGTGGATTCTGAGAAACACAAGAAAAACGGAGAAGAAAAGGCAGATGGAATAGGAAAGAAGGGGGGACAGATAGTGAGAAGGAAAAGGAAGTAACTCAATACTTGTGAAAAATAAGAAGCTTATACGTGTGTGTATGTGTGCACGTGTGTGTGTGTGTGTGTGTGTGTGTATATATGTGTATGTACACGCGTGTGTATATATAAAAACCACATATTGAACCCTTATATTATTAAATAACCTCTCCCCCAGATTGAAAATGTTTTTCCATCCTGAGATTCCTGGAGATATGCATCAATGACACTGCGAGAACCCACGCTGTTCAAAGGGAATTCTAGCGCTGGAGCCTCACATTCAAGGTCAGTCCAAGGTACCTCCTACGAGATCCCATGGGAGCCACAGGACTAGACCCTTGTTGTGCCCACGGCAGTGGCTCTTTAAAGGTTTATATTTTGGAAATGAAAATGGCTATGGTAAATTTACCCTAATAAAGAAAAAATGCCTTGCCCAAGCATTAAAAAACAAAAAGAAAAGCTAGGAGTGTGAGGAAGAGCAAGCGCTGGAGTTTTTTTGGCAGACATTCATATCTTGTGTTCTGAATAACCGTAAGCTGTAAGCCTAGATATAGCTGAGCTCTTTAAACGCAATACCCTTTCCCCTTTTTTCATTTAGTTATCTCCTTCTCTGCTCCTTGCCTCAATCTGCATATGTTATTGGCCTCGAATCCCAGGGCTGCCACCTTAATCTGTAGTAGCTAATAGTACAACCTCACACATGGCCTGGGACCAGGCTCAGGTTAACAAGAAATCCAAAAGCAAATGGCTGGGGGAGGTAGCTATAAAATAACCACTTGAAAATTCAAGCTGTGATTTTTTTTCACATTTGCATGGAGGAAGCAAAGCTTTTAGTCTCAGAGGTTCAGTCAAATGCATTAAAAAGATGAACATTTTAGTTAATGTTCTTAGAAGATTTCTAAAAGCAGTTTTGATTGTGTACTATTAGCATTAATTAATTTCTATACTGAGACCAGCCGTTATATTAGTAGAATGCATACTTTAATCAATTTCTACTTGCTGTTTTGTGCAAGTTAAAGGTAGCTTTGTGGTTTGTGCCTGGTTTATACAGTGCGTTTAACTCAATGTGCCTTAGGTAATGCTCATCTGAGGTTCAATGTATACTCTAATCAGAGCATGATACAAGAATTATGAATGAAACCCCGACAAGTAATAGGGTTGTTTTCATTTTGGACCATAGTGGAATATACCTTCTCTAAACAGGTGCTTGAATGCATTATTAAATAACACAATACTCAACTGCACTATCATCAAAAGCAGGCATAAACAGTTAGGATTAAATCTCTTTTCAATAGCAGCTTACCTGCATCTGAGAGCAGCTGTTTGATATACATTTGCAATCATTCTGTCACTGGTAAGTTTAAAAGCATCCTGTCAAGTGACTTTTTTAAAAATAGTTTTCAGATGATTATTTTTGAAATCTTTTATCATTTGGTACAAGCAATTAAAAAAAAAATCAAAATTAGATAGATTCCCAATTATTTTTTCTTGCTCTTATTTGACAAATAATGATACTTTATCCTCAGGATTTCTAAACATAAATTAAAAATTAGTACTTTATTTATTTTTACTTCTTTAGTCATAAGCATTGATGATGATTAAGGGACCAGATGATTACCCCACACCTCCCAGCACCCAGAATCCCTCTCCTCCTTCATCCCTTGGCACTTCCCTCCCAGCCCAAGGAAAAACTGCTGTTATCTCTCATCACCAGCGAAAAGGAAGACCCTCAGGAGGTCAGACTCAGCAGGTTAGGAAGCAAAACCCAGTCCCATAAGAGGTTCTGCTTTTGGCAATAAGGCCTCAGGCCTCTCTGATCCCAAATACAGAGGCTTTTCTAAACTATTGATTCAGGAGAGATGAAGTCCTGACAGAGAAAAGAAAGGGAGGTGAGGAGGGTAAGAGTTGAAAAGACTTAAAAAGGGAAGGTGCAACGGAGGCTAAGAGAGATACAGTGAACTTTTGATACGGAGAAGAGTTTGAAAACAACAATTTCTCAAAGCGGATCCTGTCCTCCCTCCATCTCTACTCTGCTAGTGCCAGAGACGGCTCCCAGGGCCTTCCCCCAGCCCACAAGCTAGGCACTTGGTCCCTCCCCAGCCAGCACCCCGACTTCAGAGACCATCACACCTCCCCACTGCTTTCACGGGAAGTGCTCCTGGTTTGCCCTGGAAGGTTGTTTCTGGCACTCAGAAACAGACACTGTGATGTCCCACAGTCCCATTCTTCCCATGGCGTCCTTCTCCGTGCACTGCCCCTCAGATTTTTTCTCCTTTGTACCTTTTTCAGTACGTTATCCTCTCAGGGCTTTTTGTTCTACACCAATTCTCTGATGCTTCAAGAGAGGTCAAGCTCACTGTGCCTGGAGCTGTATACTGAAAGAAATAGTCTCTGCCCCAAGCTGCTTCCAGTGTGAGCAAATTGGATGGACAAAGCTAGGAGGCAAGAAATTGAGGCACAACTTTGTAGAACATCACCTCAGCCTAGCCTCCTTCATTCCAGATCAGAGCTGACTAAGCACCCTGCCAAGTGCCTGCCCAAGAATAACCCTCTCATCTTCCCCATCCACATCCAGGTCGCAGTGCAAAGACTTGTCTGCTGAAAGTACAGACATGAATGGGTAAAAGAAAGAGGGGCTGCAAGTGCATGGTATGGATGGATCGAAAAAGCGTTTCAGAGAAATTGAGTGCATCAGCTATACTTGTATGGTTCCCTGTTAGGTCATCTTCAAGCCCATCTGACCAACACAAACCAGGCTTATATTGGCATATCCTCTACAGTAGCACTGACCTGGCAGGAACAGAGTCACTGCTGCTGCACTTCAGATTAGCACATCCATGATTCAGGCTTCAAAGCACTAATCTGCTCCAAAAGTCTTTGTCAGAAAAGGTGCTGACATCAGTTTCCATCCTGGCGTAAGCCACGGCCATCAGTGCTGCCGTTTGGTAGATCTCAAAAAATAAGTGGTCGTAAACGACTCTGTTTTTCTTGTATTGGTTACTCATATTACTGATTACTGATAAAATAAGCATACATATATACTAGAGGTATTTGGCATAAACAAGCACCAGTGGATTACACGTTGGCAAACCTGCAATGATGTTAAGTATTTAGAAGGCATGAGGAAAAAAAAATGCTGTAAGTGATGTCAGAAAAAGTTGCCACTGTAAAGGATTCTGAGACTGCAAAACCTACAAAAGATTCAATGACTGCAAGGGCAACTTATCCATTACCATTCAAGACCATTCCGGCTGCAAAGATATTGCATCCCTATCCTCGTTAACATCTGTAATTCAGTTTCCATGCCCATTCCCTCTTTGGACTCCCTGCTTAGAGTACAACAGCCACCTGGCCTACGGGAGCGGGACTGATCCTGCCACTGTACACAGACTTACAGGAATGTCTTCCTAGCCTTCCCTGGATGTAATTGCAATCAATCACCTAGAAATGGAGGCTTCACTAGTTCGTTACTAGTTCCCTGAGCCATCCAGTCTCCCCAAAGCTTCATAAAATTTCTAGTTTTCTAATATTTAAATTAATTATTTCAATTACCTACTACTTAGCAATGCTGCTTATGTTTCTCTTGATTTTTCTTTTCCTACATAGATTTGGCTGGAAAAACTTCTGTAGCATATCTATATCTTAATTAAAGATAACCTGTTTTAAGTGCAGGAAAATTAAGAAATTTCAAAGTTACTATTTTTCTCTCCGTTTCAAAGATGCAAATACAAGAAAGTGAGCAGTTAGACTTTAAAAGAAAAATTTATGAGTATTTCCCTCTTGGTACTCCTTCCAGTGCTTCCTAATTAAGGACAAGCCAATACAGTATCATGTACCAATCTGGTATTTATTAACAAAGCTAGTCATGATTTTTAACTGATTATTGCTCAGAGGATCCTCCCCTCATTAATATAAATGAATTAGGAGGAATACTGCCAAATGTTTCAAATGGGAATTAACATGAGACTGCAAGGTATAATTAGTTGAAAATGCTAAATACATCAAAGTATTAATTTGTGTGTACATATATATGTGTGTGTGTGTGTGTGTGTGTGTGTGTGCATGCCTATGTACGTATTAAGTTTATATAGTATCTAAATATATTATATATATCTATACACAGTGCACATATCAACTTAAGTGCAGCTTATAGATAGATACATACCCGTTTTATTATATTATACCCTGCAGCTAAGGAACCTAAGGCATCAAGCTGAAAGAGGATTACAAAATTCGGGGACCAAAAATTGAAAGATATCCACACAGGATAACTTTGATAATATTTGTCGTTTAGGGCAAGGAATCTCTGAATCGAACACCACCACATGTACAATATCACAGCCTGGTGTCTTGTTTTCTGTTAGTCTCGTAATTGTATGATTTTTTCTCCTCTCCTCCCCCACCATTTCTATGTTTGTGGATTTACTAGAGTGCAAGTGTGAATACAATGAGACTGCATCACCACAGCCCAGACAATAATTTTGCCCTGTACTTCTGACATTTAGATTTATATCATACTTTTCTCTGTGCTTGTGACACCTTCTGTAGCTGTTTTGAGGAGCCTCTCAGGCATATTTCTGGAAACAAAATTATTTGGGAAACAGAACAACACGGTCAGAATATCAAACAACATACAGAGATAGAGGTAAATCATGACATATAATAGAAACACACTCACCTTTATTACTCAGTTGTACTCATGCTGGAAAAACAGCCTCGCTTGCCATCACCTTCTGAAACCAAAGCACAGGCTACTTAGTAAGGTGTGGGAATTATGGTCTAAGCAAGATGAGAGCTGAGCTAACACCAGCCTTGGACCTGTTGAACCTGTTAATTCTACCTAAGGGTGTATGGCTGCGCCAGTCCAGTGGGTGGCCAGAAGCTACTGCAGGCTTTGTCTAGTTTTCTGGATTGTTTTTCACACTTCAGAAGGAAGTTGCACTTAACCTAGGTAGGGATGGTGTGCAGGTACAATTTGGGGCAAAGAAAACAAGACACAACCCCATGACTGTAACATCATGATATGTTGCAGGAATGTTTTTTGTACCCAGTAATTATAATCAAGGGTCTGCACTCCTCTCTCAGCCCACTCTTCAGCTTTGAACCAGGATTCCTAAAACGTATCCAGACTGAAATCAGGACTAAACCTCACTACCTCCATCCACGTGGGCTGTCAGCCCTAACTGTACACAGGGGTCATTGTCACAACCATAAGAACTGCTAAACTGGATCAGATCAAAGGTGCAGGTATCCTGTCTCTGAAAATGGATGGCATCAGACATCTAGGGAAGAAATACAATAGATTGCCTTTCTCCACATATACCTTCCCTGCTCCCAGCATTTGGCAACTTAAAGTTTTCTTTAGCAGGTAGTTACATTAGGTCATTGTGTCTAATGATCCCCAAAGAACGACACAGTGACGTTGTGTTTGACCTCCATGACTGTCTAATTTTTTTTTTAAATCATTTATCCTTTTGGTCCTCACAATATCCTCCGGCAGCAAGTCACAATCCTATGAGAAAATACAAGAAGCGGTCGTCTTTTAGTTTTTAAATTGTTACCTGGTCCTTTCACCGTTTGCCCCGTAGTTCTTGTTCTCTGAATGATTCTTCCATCTTCACCTTCCTGAAGCCATTCATGACACAGTAGACTTTCCCTCCTTGGTTATCTTTTTTTGCCCAACTGAAGTAGCTTAAGGTACTTAGAGGTTTGCAGAATAAGGAACTTGTTACATGAAAAAATAGACAACTTAATATTAAATAAAAAACTTTCCAGAGCATGCCTGCATTCATTCTCTGCTACATTGTCTGGCGTATTTCATCTGACATCTTAAAATAAGCCTTGGAACACATGTATAAATTGGAAGGTTAAGAGATTACAAGCATTTCAAGGTAGAGACTGCATTTTCCTGTGTGCAGTAACAGGTATAATGATGGTGCCTTTAAATATGACTGCAATAAATAAATAATGATAACAAAGGTGTGGAATAGCAGTACAAATATAAAAACATTTAGCAGTCTAAGCTATTCCACTATAAAAGAAATGTAGAGTTTATTTTGTTTGCTTTCACCAGTAAAGAATGCCCTTTATGGGCTTACTTATGTAACACCCACTTGTGGTCATAACTGCTTCCCTCATATTTTAACCTTCAGGATTTCTTTTCCTCTAAATATCTAATTAGTACTGCTTTTTTAATGGTTTTATAAAAGCATCTTGGCATGTATGCAGAGAATGGCCTAGTGCCAAGGTACCATAACGTGCAGGAACAGTAATGACTCTGTCTCTGTACTGACTCTCTTTGATAGAATATGATACAAAAAATCAAATGCAAAGCTGACAGGACAGCTCACATTTCTGCTGGATCTCATAAATCCTACTTGGCGTGAGACTTCCACATCTCTGGCTATGCTTTGTTTTTATAGATATAGGGTATGTAATTAGTTCCTTTTTTGCCTTTTCCCTCTTCATGTTATCCTTGTCCAGTGCATACTAGTCACATATATTGGTCATTTTCTACTACCACCACCTTTGTGAGACAGCTGCAGGGTAAAAAGACCAAGGCATAGGAGAGCTTGTCAAAGAGACACTGTGCCAACAACCTAGAAGATTTTCTCAGATTTTCTACAGCAGAGCACCTGAGAAGTTTGATTCTGCACTGAAGTCATGGGCTAACGCACTGCATGGGATGCTCAGCAGAGGCATAACCCACTATGTGCAGGCAGTAGCAGAAGCTAGAGATATTCAGCCAGGGAACTTTCTTTGTTCAATGATATCTTCTGAAAAGGGCCCCTTTTCTAAGCAGCTGAGTGATATGAAGACCTACATTAATGCACAAATCTCAATAAAGGGCTTAGGTTCTGACCTAATGCTTCCTCCCACTTGTCCAAACTAGTCCTAAAAACAGCTTAGCCCTGTCCTAAAATCAGAGTATGATGTTCTCCAGTTCTGCTTCCATGCAGACAATATATAGTTTGTAGTAAGTATATCTCAGTCACCAATAAGGCCTAGCTAGCATAATGGTTCTTCAGTGCCACTAGCAGTCCACATAATTTACAGTCACCCTCAGATCGCTCTAACTCATGGCAAGGGACAAAAGCTGGCTAATGATCAGTCAGTGCAAGGTGGCATCTTTGCTCACACCTCCCTCCCAATTAGCACTCCTTGCTCCTTGCCTGCAGCAGAAAATCTGGGCCTTTATATTATTTTCCCACAACAGCAGCCTCCATCATTAATTAGTGTATGGAAGCTCTGGAGATCCATTGGGAACACAGAAAAAACATTCTCCTGTGACAGTGCTACTCATGCTAACAACTCTGATTCCCCTCAAGCTGTCAGTAGCACATCCTTGAGCTTCTGGTGACCCTGCACAAGACCTTCCTTTGGACTGAGGGAAGGAAACAATGAGATATGCAGCTCATGAAGCTTCTGGTCTCATGACTGCATTATCTGCATCTAATAGGTTTCAAGCTGACTCTGAACCTTTTCCTGCAACTGGGGCATTGGCAATGTCTCTATTCCATGTGTCTTCTCTGGTGACTAGTAGTACAGCTAAAGCTTAGAGATGTATCTTTCTCAGTAGATACCTGATGTGGGTATCTCTTCTCTGCTCCTTCACCTATTTTCACAAAACTTCTGTCAAAGACACTGTGTTTCTACCTTAAAATCACCATCAACTGGTTTACGGTAAGAAGTTACTAGGCAGACAGACAAAAGTGTCCCTGGGGAAAAAAATTGAAGAATAAAGTAAATAATAATGAATAAAGATCTCATAAAGATCTGTTCTTGTGCTTCCAACAGAAATCTGGCTACACTAATAAATTTCTCAAGAAAGCTGGAAGTTTTAATTATGCTTTTAAATATTTGGAATTAACTCTGGATAGCATCTGAAATTTTAGATGTCTAAATTTTCTGGGATTCATTAGTCACTAATAATGTCATGTCCACTTTCCATATGATTCCAGGTATAAGAAGAAAGTGTACACTTGGCATATGTGTGATAGCAATAGAAAACATTAGTTAGAAATGCACTAAGAAACAAACGAGAAGTTTTCCACTAACAATTAGTTTTCCAATTTTATGTAATTTTTGCACAGCTCAAGCTATTAGATCAGATCCTCTAATAGCTTTCCCCAGCAAAGAACAGCTCAAGAGTGTGATTTCTTTTCCCTGTAGTATCATTACACAGGAAAAGGTCCTGGTAAATTCAGCATTTGCCCAGTTCAGATCACACCTATACTGCCAGACTATGCACCTTGTACTGATTAGACTCCCAAAGTCCTACTTTGACACGCAGTTGGTTCAGTTTAAATCTACAAATGGTCTGAGGTCAGGTCTTTGGCTGTTGTAAGGTGCCGATACGCAATCTGAAGGGGATATCCCCAGGATATTAAATCTATTGACCTATTGACACAAAATCTCTGATGGTTGAAAAGAGCTGTCAGTCACTAGCATTGAAGTCTCTGCTAAGCAGTATATGAAATAAAATAACCACTTTTTTGGATTATTCCCTAATAGTATCTCAATTCAGATTTTTTATTGACCTTAAGCATGACTTAACTCCCACGAAAAGGCCTGCCAGTAAAAGGCAGAGTCATCAATCCAGATCACAGCGGAAAATTAAATTTAAACATCAAGTTCATTCTTCAAAAGTTAAATAATGCTTCTGGCATCGACAAGTTCCGAGTAAAATTCTTTTTTTTTTCTATACACATTCTTTCCAATCTCTATGCCATTAATGAAGAGCGCATACCTATTGTGCCTGATCTGGTATTATCACACATAGAACGTCACTTTCGGTCTCCCTCTACTTGTTATCTAAACGTATATGCCATTGGGCAGAACTCTTATACTCTCATTCCTCCTCTCTCCCCCTTCTAGATCTCTACAGGATTGAATAAAGAAAGTTCTATATCCTACAGAAACACCCATATGCAGGGCTGCAGATGAGAGAAGGATGGAGAGAGGATAAAGACGAGGTCAAAAGCAAATGTAAAGAAAGCAAAATATTTCAGCTCCCTTTTAAAATATGTAAAGTTAACTCAGATCAAATTGATTCCAGAACAGTGTGCATTCTATTCCAGCAATATCTATTGCCATATGGGACTTTTAAATACTGGGTTTGGAAAGGAAAGAAAAGAACACAAGGTAGCCTAGTTAAAAATGCACCAGAAGTATGAAGACAGCAGCCCAGTCTGTTACTTGATATTCAACCATTCTCAAAACTTCACTGGGCTTTTTTTTTCTTCTTTCTTCTGGGGGATTCTATATTGCTATGATCAAATGCTTGACAGCCATTTTCAAGTAATTTCGCATGATTTCCATGCTGAAGAACTATTAAACGTAAGATTCTGAGAAACTAGTCAATTTGTGCATTTCACTATTTTCTCCAGCATAGACACCCTAACCGGTCCCTCTAAGTATAGTACAATATCATACTATTTCTTCCATCCTTTCTTTTCATCACAGAAAATTCAAAGCTTTTGCATGTTTTCATATTTGTTATACATTTGGATCAAATATCGCTTGAATATGTAAAAGGGAATAATCAAATGTAGAAACAAAAAAATTTTGGAGTGTACATGAGTATGAGCGTTTGGGTACATCTACCTATCCGTTTATATTCTCTCCATGAACAGCTTAGAATAAATAAGGTTTTTAACGCTATGCCTGGGGTTTAAAAAAACACAAATCAAGTAAACGTATGTTCACAACTGTGAAATAACAAAATATATTTTAAAAGGAGGAAATGGTATAGTCTAACTGCAAATGAGTCATCTTAATGGCATAACAAGAAGAAAAACATACATAAATTTGGCATTATATTCAGCATCACAATTGTTCTAGTAAGAGAGGAAGGGGAGAGAAAGACAAGAGACTGACTTTAGAGACGGCTAAGTGCTGCTTATTAGTGGGGAAACAAGTATTCTACTACTTTGCAAAAGTTAGCCTTTTTGCAAAATTTTGGGGGCTTGTCAGATGACAAATATAAATATTAATCATTGTCTTTTAAATGACTGTGCTAAATTTCTATTTCACTTTACAATCCAGAGTGCAGCACTTATATAGAAACAATTGCATTCTGTTCATTAATTTGAAACCATTCTGCAGTGATTAACATGTGAAGTCTGCCAAAGCATTTTCAAGGTTGTTTTTGTACTTGTGTGTGTGTATTTAAGATCACTAGGAAAATGCAGTGAGTAACTCTGAACATCATATAACACTGAAATATCTTTCCCATTCTTTAAACCCAATACAAAATGTTTTTAAAGTATAAGTATACCTTACATAAAGAACAGAAAATCTGTTTGCCTTCTTTATTTCAGGAGACATATTATTATCTCAGGAGCTTGTTTAAAGGTGGCCTACAAATAATTTCTCAGGAGTTAGTTTTATATAGCTTATACTTCACAATGAATGAATGAAGAATGTCAAAAGGTTTGTTTTATTCTTGTTACTTGGGTGATGGCTTTTTGCTTTAAGATATTTTTAAATGTCGGTTTTGGTTTTCCTGCATTTTAATCATTGAACCGATTAGTGATTTAAGAAATACACTATCAGCATGGCTGAAGAGGATGGGAAAAGAAGGGATTATTTTTAAAACCTACCCTTTTTCAAAAGGTTGTACTGCAGTACAGCTAGAGTGGTGTTAACAAAAAAAAAAACTACACAAAAAGTATCAGGGAATATCACTAAAACTCCTTTTCTTTCCTTGAGCCATTCTTTCCTTTAACTTTTTGACTCTTATGATGTCACAATTTCAGCAGCTTTTCAGACATCGATCATATAAATAGACTTGGATATGTAACAGCAAAAACAAGCAACAGAGGGTTAAAAAAAATTGTAATACCTTTTCACATTTTATGAAGTATCACAAACCTAACCCAAGCTCACATTAACTACTTCATTATTTTGAACTTGGTCTTACGTTAAGAAGAAAAAAAAAAGAAACCCCACTCCCTGACATATAGAGATAAGAATACTAAGAAGTTCAATTTTCAGTTTTACTTTAACCAATAGTCCTTCTCTCTAATTAGGGATGGGCTTAAAACGAGGGCACTGATTTGCAATAGTAAAAGATGTGATAATTCACATCCAGTTCTAACCAAATGTGTTATGCATGATGTAGAAGACAGTCACCTTGTTCCTTTACGTCAACACCTGGAGCAGGTATGGAGGCAGCGTGTTCAGACATTGGCAAGGAGCATCCTGTCTTATTTTATAAGGTCTCCATCTGTCCATCTTGGAAGCAAGAGCAGCGTATGTTTGGCAGGGACTCTAGTGCAAGGATTGTAATAAGGGTCTCCTATTCAGCCAACCAGGAGTGCTTTTTGCTACCTTTCTCACCTTTGTAGCCAGGAGCCTGAGGCCTTTTGGCCTGAACACCTAATAGCCATTTACTTTGTAGCCACTAATTAAAGGGATGTCCTTAGCAAGCAAAAAGATAGCCATGATAAGAAGGGTCTTTTAGCAGAGAGGTAAGGGAAATAATATTCAGATGGATGCTGAGCCTTTGAGAAATGCAGGGTACAGCTCACCCTTGAGGAAGGACTCAGGACTTTTCTGTTGCTTGCTCTCACTGCAGTAGAAAATACTTCTTGAAATATATAAAACTGTTAAGTTCATCAATTTTATAAGTCTCCAGAAATGAAAGTCCACAGCTGTGAATAATGGTGTAGTTCTGCATGGAGATGCATTGGCAAAGCTGTGTGATGCTGTTTTGCATAAATTCATGCCCATAATATTCTAGCTCCTAGTCAGTGCTACTTGATCTGTAAATGCTAACAGATCCCTTCTCCTCACTTGTCTTAGTACACTGAATAAATCAGAAGGGAAGTCTTCTTGTCTGTTTTGGTTTAATTCTACTGCTTTATCCCAACCACCTACAAACTTCTCTAGCAGCAGCCATATCAGTAATATAGATCAGAAAGAAGTGCCTGATACTTTTTCCAAGCTACAAACTTATTTTCAGAAAATAGTGGTTGATATGAGTTTCCTGGACTATTCTCATTAACACTGAAAAATAGGGGGGAGAGAGAGACAGACAGACAGACAGACGGAAGCAGCTCAGTCCTCTGACCATCTCTCATTTATGCATGGTTCAC